ATTAATTTAGGGCTAGTTGGGGCTTATACGCTGACACGGGTAGGGGGAGGGATATACGGGAAGGATATATGACCACCACGATTACATTGGGAAATGAGAGGACACCGAACTGTGCTCATAAGAGATAGATAACAGATGTTAAAACCAACCAATGTGTCCACAATACCACATTGCCATTAACACCAAACACTGGGCTATACAGATAAACATATAAACACCTGAGATGATCAGACAGGGGTCAGTGAATAGAGGTATACTCTAGGAGGGAGCTCTGGTAGAATAGTGGCTAAGTCACTTGCCCGCTAATCAGACGGCTGGCGGTTCAAACCCACCAGCCACTCCTCGGAAGGAAGGTTGGGCAATCCTACTTCCTTAGTGATACTGCCTCGGAAACCCAAGGAGGGGTCGCTATGAGTTGGGGCCGACTTGATGGCACATAACAACAACAACAACTAGACCAAGGATAGACTCAGTTGAGGCTAATCTTATACAGATACCAGTGATACAAAATACCTGCAGTCCTTACAGAAACAATAGAAGACAAACACAGAGTAATCCCTCACGGACATCCCAACACTATGGGAGAGAGATCCAATAGAGCTACTACCTCAGGATCATAGTACTGGGGTATACCAGACTCAATTGGCACAACAAAATACATAAAAAGCATTGCTCCACATCCTACATTGGTGAGTAGCGACTGGGGTTTTAAAAGCTTTCAAAGCAGCCATCTAGGATGCAGCTAATGGTCTCCCAGCATTGGAAGAAGAATGCACACACACACACACACAAAAAGGGCATTTAGAAGCAATCAGCTCTAGGACATGATGGCCCTCAAGACCAGAAGAACTGGATGGTGCCCAGCTACCAATGCGAACCACTCAGGAAAGGATCAAATCTGGAAATCCTGGATCGAGTGAGAGGGAAAACATAGAACAAAATCCCAAAACTCAATAATGACCAGAATTACTGGTCAGATGAAGTCTGGTGAGACTCCCAATACTATGGCCCTGAAATACATTCGGCGCCCGGAATAAAACTCACCCCCAGGGGCAGGCTCTCAGCCCAATGGTTAGCAGATGTACACGCAGACCACTCAACCCACACACTCAATGGTAATGCATCCCCTAAAGCATAAACCATGGGACACCAAAGGACCAACATTCAAACTGAGGAAATGCAGGACAAACAGGAGTGCATGATTATGAGGGGCACAGGAGGAGTGTTGCAGGGTAGGGAGGGGAGGAGACTGGGTTGGGGTTGGACATGGTGAATGGGGAATGAAACTAAATGTACGCGTGACTTTGAATGTAAAACAAGGTCTTAAAATAAAAAAAAAAAAAATCATTTAACAATTTAACTAGCCTATAAAAATTTGTAGCAATTTAAAGTTCTGAAGTCACAGCCCTCAGACTTCAGAAGAGCTGAAAACACAGGAAGATAACTCATCGATTTTTTTTTTCCCTTTTTACATATTAATTAATATATTTGGGTGGAAATTCACAGAGCAAATTAGTTTTCTATTCAACAATTAATACACATTTTGTTTTGTGATATTAATTGCAATCCCCATAATGTAACAACAGCACCCCTCCCACTTTGTCCCTGTGTTTATCATTTCCTTTGTTCTTCCTTCCTACCCTTTCTGCTTTTTGGGCTTTATTCTGGGGCAAATGCTGCCCTTTTGATCTCGTATGCTTGATATTTCAAATAAGTGTGTGCCTTCCTAATGTTATTGTTCATCCCTTAGGCCTGTCTATTGTCTGGCTGAAAAGTTGAGATACAGGTTAGCATGTAACTCACCCTTATTAAAGGAGAGTTATTCAGAGTTCAAAATAACAAACACATGACTGGCTTAGGCAAAAATTATTGAATAATTTTCATGTCATCAGTCATTCCTTTCCTCTTCTATTTAATGCTACTTTTCAGAGTAGCAATAAAAACAATTTTTTTAGCTGTCATCTCACTCTCCTCCATATCTGAAATCTCATCTTTATGGTAAATTAGAAATGTTCCTTTTATTCAGAGCCCCTCTTTATTTTTAATAGCTTTATTGAGGTTAAATTTACATATCATTCAACATACAGTTCAATGATTTTCAGAAAATGTACAGAGTTGTGCAACCGTTACTACAATCCAATTTTTTAAGATTTCAATTGCTCCCAAAAGTGCTCCTCTCTTTTAATGCCATTTATGCTGTAATGTGACAGGAAATGGGGTGATCCGGGGGCTTCAGTGGTGGATAGATGTGGTTTACCTCCTGCGGTTCCATTGCTATCTTTATTTTACTCTCCCCTTGAGGGTCATTGTGATAGAATCTGTCTACCACAGTTCCTCAACAGCATGTTCCCTATGAACAAGCACCTTTAAGATTCTTAGAATGTACCATCCTCTTCATGTTTTGAGCTTTTTCTGCCTAAGGGTAGCTTTAGTCCACAAAAGGAATAGCTACCATTACTTGAATTTGATTAGCATTAAATATGGTAACTTGTAACTTTAAAAGTTCTCCTTCAAGCTTTTAGATTCAGTTTACAGTCTTATTTTCTAATAAAAATAAGATGATAATTTTTACATGTTCTTTCATTTACATTAGAAGGAGCTTTGGTGGCGCTATGGTTAAAGCATTGGGCTGTTAACCAAAAGGTCGGGGGTTTGAATCTACCAGCCGCTTCATGGTAGAAAGATGAGGCAGCCTGCTTCTGCTAAGATTTACAGTCTTGGAAATCCTATGGGCTGTTCCACTCTGTCCTATAGGGTTGGTGTGAGGAATGGCAGTGGGTTTGGTTTGGTTTGATTTACATTCAATTAATTCATAAACTTGATAGAACAAATTTCCCCAAATATTAAACACTATATATTAACTAATGAAAAACAATTTGAAATGTAATACTTGATTCTCTCAAACATGTCAAACACTTAATCATTCAACTTGTAAATTTAACCAACCATATTTTCTTGAGCTCCTTAAAAGAAAACTATTTTAGTTTATATCAGGCTGAGAACTTAAGTCTATGAAATTATTTTAAATATTTCAAATATCTTAAAAGTAAAAGTATAAAAGAATGTACCTAGAGCAGCACAATAATCACAAAGCCTGTATAATTAATTCTTCCAACTAATTGAACTTGGCTAAAAATTTGGGTCCATGATGTGAGGAAAAGGGCTTTTCTAGACTCTTGAGTTCTAATTCTCTTTTACAGTAGCAATTATGTGATTCCCTGGATTATGCTCTGGTGGCCTAGTGTCTAAGGCATTTGACTGCTAACCAGAAGGCTGGCAGTTTAAACCCACCAGCCATTCCTTGGAATGAAGGTTGGGCAATCTACTTCCGCAGTGATAACCACGTCAGAAACTCAAGAAGGGGTCGCTATGAGTCAGAGCCACCTTGATGGCACTGCGTTTGGTTTTTGTTTTGGAATGAAATCTGTTACCACTTACAGTATCAATTCGTGGTACAACTGTATCTCACTGAGTTGAAGATTTTGAGGAAACTTTAGTGAGATGTGGTGACCAGAACATCATAGGATGATCTCTTAAGGTAAACTTTAGGGTCAGAAAGATGAGAGTCTGAAACCATTAAATACTTAATTTTGGACACAACACTTTATTTGCAACATTGGCATCACTGGAGTGTATTCTCAGATCATCATGATGGTATGGGGAGCTGAAACCATGTCACATGACTTTTCCCTGGGAAGAAACAAAGCATCTTCAAGTATTTTTAGAGCCTCATGGGGGAGAGGGATAGGTTCTTTTTTATTTTCTAAGGAGATCCAGAATTAAGACGCAAGTTACATAAACACAGTTTTCAATTAGGGAAATATGGAAAACTCAGATTTGAAAGCAGGGGATGCAGGTCTCAGTTTAATTATGACTAGCCACAGGCACTTACATTCTAGAAGTCAGTGCTATCTGAACTTTTTGCAACGTTGGAAGTGTTCTTTATCTTTGCTGTCCAATATGGGAGCGACTGGTTACAGTATTTGGAAGGCACAGGTCTAAACCTTAATTTCCTTCTTTCTAAAATAGGAATTAAATACTTATCAAAATTATCAAATACTTATCAAATTATTGATCCCAGGATCAAATGACAATATGTGAGCTCCGAAAAACATTATACGTTAATTATGTTGATAATTATTTTGTTTCATCCTGAATTATTTATAACATTTGGAATGAGAGGTAAATGGAATAAGCAGCCTGAGAAAGTAAAGTTCCCCACGTTTGATACTCAAATACAGGATTGCAGGAGGCAGACATTAGCCAAACAACAAAAACATCTTGGGTAGTCGCACTAAATCCAACTCATCCTTAAAGTCTCTTCTAAGATCTTCCCTTCCGGAGGTGGTTCTCCCTAACGCCTGTGTTTTGGATTAGAATGCCCTCCTCAAAAAACCAATGCTACTTTTCACTTCGTAGTGTTAAAAGACATTCTGTTTACGCGACTGCATGTGAGAGTAGGCGCTTATGTTCCTGTCGTGCAGGGTTGTGTCCTCTGCGCTTGATCAACCACTTGGCACGTAACAGATTTTCAATCAATATGTGGAATGATTAATTAACCGTGTAAATTAATACTGTCTGAGTATCGTTCCCTGATAATAATTTAAGTAACTACTAAACTGTGGGGAACATTCTTACATTTCTTTGCTGCCAATAAGGGTGACTTCCGGCTCTCTGAGCAGAGGTGGGAAATCCTCGATGCCCTGTAGCTGACTAGCAAGCACCTCTCTTTGGCCCTTCTTCCTCCTGACTGCAGGATGTCGAGCACCTAGCGTTCACGAGGTCGCTACAGTCTGCGTCGTCGTCAAGGCGAGCACAACGTGGTGAGGGAACTACATTTCCCATCTGACTCTCCTTGCGCGCGCCTCTGCCCATGCGGGGGGCGAGTGCACCGGCAGCTCGTTCCCTGCTGAGCCCTCTTCGCCTGGCTGAGCCTTTGCCAGGGGATGAGGTGGGAGGCGCTAGAAACCACTTAGCTACAGCCAACCGCCCAGTGCAGCACTTGCTTGCTCCCCCCGCCAGCGGAAGCGCCCGCGGAGCACAATGCAGCACTGAGGCATCGCGGCGGTGGAGGCTGCAGCGCAGCGACCGCAGTAGCGCTGGGCCGGGGCTGGGAGGGGGCTTCCGAGGCAAGCCTGGGGGCGCCGACCAAGGCAGCTAGACCCAGCTGCCCATGAGAAGCTGAGCGTCTGCGGCGGGGTGGGCTGACAGCCAGCACCATGCAGGCGGCAGCGGCTGCGCCCGTGCTCTTCTTGCTGCTCTGCGCCTTGCCCGCGCGGTGCGGCCGGGCAGGTAAGTTCTTCCCCATCTGTGACTGCGGGACCGGTCATTTCCCGTGAATTGCTGGACCTTTCAGGCTCACGGAGAAGAACACCCCTGTTTCCCGAGTGCGCGGGAAGATTTTTATTTGGAAGGGTGGCGAGAGGTGGTGCAAAAATGTGTGTGTGTGTGTGTGTGTGTGTCGCGGGGGGGGGGGCGCACGGATGTTTTTAGACGCTTTCGGTCACATGCCTCTTTTTCTTCCGAAGAATGGAGAGGGTGGGGAAAGAGGTGCCCTGCTGCTGGGCCCCGACCCTGGATGCTCTCTGAGATGAGCTGGTCCTAGGCTCTCCGATTGGTGTCTCTGCGTCTTTCCCAGCTGAGGTCGCGGAGGGAGGAGGCGGTGGGGTTTTCGTAGAGGAGAAATAGGACTGCTGCATGGACGAGTGTGGGTCAGGATGGTATCCTCTCTTTTCTCCCTGCTGCCTTCTGCCCTTCTTCCTGCCTGCAGGAGACGCCTCGTTGACTGAGCTGGAGAGGAGGAACGACAACCGCTTCCTGGAGCGCCAGAGCATCGTGCCGCTCCGGCTCATCTACCGCTCCAGCAGCGAGGACGAAACTCGGCACGACGCGCTCGACACGCGGGTGCGGGGCGACCCCGGGGGCCCGCAGGTGAGAGGCGCGGCCGGGTTGAGGGGTGTCTTCCTCGCGGCCTGGCCCCCTTGCGACCCCACGTTTGTTCTGTTGCCCCGGAGACGCAGAGTCTTTGGTGAAATGAGCGCAGTCCTAATGCGAGTCATGCAAGGCTTGACTTTCCCTGTACAGAAAGAGAAAGGAAAAGGGGGAGAAAGAAATTACCAGAGGAAGCACAGGCCGGGAGCTTTGCTCCATGTTGACTTTGTGAGAGATGCCCCTAGCAGTCACCCAGAGCAAAGAGGCAGACCCCCTCACTGCTGTCAAGCAGAAGACGTGTATGGGAAACGGAGGGGATACCGTATTTGGGCAAGGTTTGGATCATTGTTGTTGTTTTAATCCTCAAAGAGAAGACTATATTAGGGATTTATCCCAAGGTGGTTCAGTAGAAAAATTTCCGGAAAACAAAGTTAGATATCCCTAATGAAACTAAACCGTAAAAATAAGCTGAATTGTACGATTCTTAGCAGAGTCTGATTTGTGCACACCAGAGGTGTGCCCCCCAGTTTTATCTCCAGAAAGACTCTTTCGTCTTTGGTAGCATTCCTCTACTATTCCTATAATTAGGGCTGTGTTGTTTTTTGGACATTTAGAAATTATGTTAAAAAAATCTAAGGTGACCATTGCGCTCACACTTAGATCAATATTGCATATCCAAATATAACTGGAAATTATTTTGAATTTACTGGTTAACTTCAGGAAAAATTTTGAGGCTATGTAAGTATTTTGTGTGTTTTTATACAATAACCGGCCATTCACCCACCTAAAGTAAATATCAAGAAAGGACTTGCTCATGTAGTTGAAAATTTGTATTAGACTTTGCTAAAGGAAAGGCAGCTCTGGCAGCATAGTGGCTAAGGCACTTGACTGCTAACCAGAAGGCTGGCGGTTCAAACCCACCAGCCACTCCTTGGACGGAAGATGGGGCAATCTACTTTCATAGTGATACTGCCTCGGAAACCCAAGGGGGGGTCGGTATGAGTCGGGTCCTACTCGACGGCACATAACAACAACAACAAAGGAGAGGCAAGTTGAAGGTTTTCACATGTATAACCACTCGTTAATACTTTAGGATGTATACTGATGATGTAACAGTTATAGTAATTTGTATAAGTAAAATATGCAGAAGCAGAAAAACATTTAAATCTGTGTTTATGGTCAAATACTTAATTCTCTTAAAATTTTGTTAAAATACAACAAACACAGCACACTGCTGTGGAGTCAGATCCGACTCATAGTGACCCCTCCTTGGGTTTCTGAGGCAGTATCACTATGGAAGTAGATTGCCCAACTTTCCTTCCGAGGAGTGGCTGGTTTGAACCGCCAGCCTTCTGGTTAGCAGTCAAATGCTTTAAACCAAAAACCAAACCCACTGCCACTAAGTCATATCAACTCATAGCGACCCCTCCTTGGCTTTCTCAGGCGGTATCACTAGGGAAGTAAATTGCCCACTCCTTCTGAGGAGTGGCCTTAGGCACTATTAATTTAAAGGGCTGTAGGGAGCTCTGGTAGCCTAGTGGCTAAGGCACTTGACTGCTAACCAGAAGGCTGGCGGTTCAAACCCACCAGCCACTCCCCGGAAGGAAGATGGGGCAATCTACTTCCATAGTGATACTGCCTCAGAAACCCAAGGAGGGGTCGCTATGGGTCAGGTCTGACTCAGCGGCACATAACAACAACAACAACAACTATCCTTCAAAGTTACATTATAATAGTAGAAAATCTAACACATGCCAAACCTTTAATGAAGCGTTCTATTATTTGAATTAGTATTTGGTAAATACCTCTTTTTCTTCTCAAATTTGGGTTGCTTCCATGGTAAAACTGAAGAAGCAGGAGCACAGATTCTTTTATTTTTCATAGAGTTAGGATTATTTCTGTAGAGGAATATTCTCACAGGCACTTAGAACCATTGTGTTATAAAAAATAACAAACGTACATAAAAGTAGGCAGAATAGGGTCTAATCCCAGCTTCAGCAATTAACAACCCATAGTTAATCTTGTTTTATCTATCACCTTACCTATATTCTTCCCCTTCCTGTATTCTGAAGTATATTGCAGACATCATTGCATTAAAAGAAAAATTCAGTATATACCTGAAAGGTATATATTCTTTCTCTCTCTCTCTATATATAGATATGTATTCTTAAAAAAATATAACCGTAATATTATTACATCTTAAAAAAAGAAAATTAGAGTGATTCCTTGATAACATGAGATATCCAGTCTTCAAATTCCCAGTTGTGGGTATGTATGCATTATGTTTGTTTGTTTGAATTAGGATCCAAATAATGCTACAAATTGCTATTAGTTGATTTGTGTGTGTTTTGTTTTTGAAGTATTTTTTTATCATATAGTTTTTGCCCTTCCATTTTCTTGAATTTATTCTTTTCGAGACATGGGTTGTCCTGTAAAGTTTCCCATAGTTTGGATTTTGCTGATATAGTGAGCGCTTTAAAACAAATTACAAGAGTTTACTGGAAGAGGAAGGGAAACGAAAAGAAGGAGAGGAAAAGAAAAGTGCAGAAAGGAACCTGGAAGCCCCCACAGAGTTTGCCTCATGTGGGTGTGTTGTCTTCAGACATTGTAGGTCCTTCTCTGTCTTTATAAAAGACCATCCAGTTTTGGAAAACAGGCCAGTTCTCCTTTTCTCCACATATAAAGCACCATTTCTTCAGTGTTTTGGCTCACAGAGCAAAAGATACTTTGGGCCATGTACCTTCTCTTCTACAGTAACAAACCTTACAATAGGAAAGAATGATTAGCGTTTGGTGAGGTGTGGATAAATTAGTAGGGCTTAGATTAAATAGCATAAATTATTAATTCAAGTCAGAAATGAAAGTGAAGATACTGTCTTGTCATCAATGTAATTGTTACGAGAAATTCAGTGCCTGGCACGTAAGAAGTACACAGTGGTTACTGTCTGGATCACCTGGGGAGCCTTTGCATTTACCATGCTCTTTAGACTGCAATTGGAAATCGTTGACAACCAAGACTGAATCTGCCAGTTAGAGTTGGAAAGACTTGGATGCCACAGGTCAACTCTTCTTAGTTAGGAAACTAAGGAGTTCTTCCTGCATTTTGGTATTTCTAGTTTCCCTGAAAGCTGCCATTGAGACCCAAAAACCTATGTTGATATTATATGATCCTTGTTATTTCTTTGGGCATAAGTTTTTGGTGGTATCTTTCCTTGGCCATTCAGTAAATGTAATTTTTGGGATCTTAGATACCCATATATGTTTCTAGCAACTTCTTTTCTACTTCACAAATAAAATCAAGGTGGTTTTCCAGTTATAAAAAATCCACTGCCGTCAAGTTGATTCTGACTCATGGTGACCCCCGTTGGGTTTCCAAGATAGTAAGTCTAAGTAGATTGCCCTATCTTCCTTCTGCAGAGTGGTTGATGGGTTTGAACCACCAACCCTCTGGTTAACAGTCAAATGGCTTAGGCATTGCACCACACACACACACACAGATGAGTGGGAGATAGATGAGTGAATGGGCAGTTATACTCTGTCATTGTGTATTTTGCTGGAGGAGATCACAGAGAACCATGGGAACATAGAAGACTCTATTTAACAAGGTGGGCAATCAAGGAGGGCTTTTGTAGAACAGTGATGTTTGAGTTATGTATTGAGGATAAGTAGGAATCGTCCAGGTTCCAGGTTAAAGGTGGGGAGGAGGGCATATCAAAGAGCTTGGACAAAGACATAGGAATACAGAGTCAGGACGTCATTCATTCATTTGTTCATTCATTTATTTATCTATTTATCTATCTATCTATCTCCAGATAGTTAGGATTTAAGGGATAGATGAAACAAAAAAAACACAAAAGTGGGGGGTAGGTGCTACATATCTTCATGACTTGCTGAGGAATTTGGATGTTGTTCTGAAGATAGTGGGGAACCATGAAAAAGTTTCAGTAAGGAAAATTACATGACTAGATTCATGTTAATGTGAGATAATCCTAATTGTTGGAAATGAATAATTTTAATTTCAAACGGTAAGTGAATACAATTGTTTACTTTAATTCATTGGTAAATGGCAATTAGCATATTCATTGAGTTTCAGAAGAAGCTGAAAATATTGTATAGATGTGTTAATATTTATAAAGCACTTAGAATAATGCTTAGCATATAGTAAACAATTTATGACTTCGTTACATAATATTAACTCACTCAGGCTGCTTGAGTACTATTTAGAAATTTTATGACATCACTTCAATGCAAAATGGTGGCTTAATTTCCTGAGTTTAATACATTCTCAGAAGTGAAGTTTACAAATTATTCTAATTTACATAATTAGCAGAATTGCATAGTGTTAGAGATGGAAGAGACTTTAGAAATTATCTAATTTAATTCAGGAATTAGTTCTCACTTTGAAAGATCAGGTCCATTGACTGAGAGTAGGAAAATCAGGCGTGTGTTACTTAATATTAACCTATGATGGCATTTATTGTTCACGTGTCATTGTTTTTGTCCCCACGTGGGAGCAGAACACCTATATTTATGGAATCAATTTTCGTTTTGATTCTGTAGAAATGCTGGCAATTTGATTAGCATGAAATCAACATTGTTTATATGAGTCCATATTGTAAAAGTTTTCTAGCTACATAAGTCAATTACTTGAATGCATACTTTATTTTTAACTCAAGTGGAATGATTGGGTCATACTGAAAGCTTATTTTGCCATACAGTCCTAGAAATCATAATCAAAGAAATTATATTTGTGTGTGGAAAACATTGCTATCCTCTGAGTTTCCTTAGTCTGAAGCAATTTCAGTCTGCTGTAATAGCACCCAGAACTAAAATACTCAAAATATCCAGTCTGTCTGTCTTCCTACTTGAAATTAATTGTGCTGAATGAATTGTATGTTTGCAGATAAAGGGATAAAAGTTGTATTTTAACTGGATACCTATATGGACAAGATAGCACCTATTGGGTCTTACTGTTGATGTGATACCGATAATAATGTATTT